TCTTTTTTCAAATATTTAGAGTTGTTAAACAAATCAAGTTGCTAATGGACTTGACTCGACTCATTAAATCTGAAAATATATAATTCTCGAATATGCCGAGTTTAAATGTTATGCTCGTATGCTTCATAAGTTTATTTGGAATAAATTTGTGTTTCGTATTGCCACATGTACATGTTTAGGTTTTTCTATAAGGCTTGGTAATTACCATAAACTATTTTAACTTTTTTTTTTTCTTAAGTTATCATATACTGCTCTTACCTTTACACATTTAATTATATATTGATTATTATAAATATGTATTTTTCCAAACTTTAAAACTTTATAACTTTTTTATTTGTATTTTATTTTTATGTATGATAATCAAAAGAATCACATTTTAATGATTTTCGACTTGACATGCATATTGTGTATATGCAATAATAAAGTAATTATATTTATCTTTACATATGTAAATAATTTTATTAACAAAACAAACTAAAAAATATCAATTAACAATACAAATTATTTCATAAAAACAATAGACTAATTCATTAATACACTATAAAATAACCATTTTAATGTGTTTTTCTATAGATTTTAGATAAAGTATAGAAATTAAGTATTACATTGAAATAAATTTTAAAAAATATTATAAATAATTCTTTCTTGATTTAAATAGATTATATAATGAATAAATATTGTTATGTAGCTTAAAATAATAAATATAAAATAATATCATAATTAAATATAATAAAATAAATTTATCTTTCATAAAGTTAGAAAATTATAAATTATGCGTAAATTAAAGTTCTAATTTATTAAATTATATAAATTTAAAATTAAAAAATTAATAAGCGAGACACACCAACTCTATAAATATAAAATACAATCACAGTACAATAAAACTTGATTTGCTTAAAAAAGTTTGAATCAAATATGTGGAGCTGTAAATAATATATGTTTTAGTCATAATTTTAAAAATATCATTTTTGACAAATTTAGTGTAAAAATACGTGGCGACGATTTGAATTTATTATCACTTTTTTTAGTTATTTATTATTATTGTATATTCATTGTACATAATTTCACAATAAAAAATATAAATTATTTTAAAATATTTTATTGTACAAATATTAATATATTTAAGTACTCGTGTGATACACGGGTATCATACTAATTGATATTGTTACATAATATTTGAACCGTCACTTTTTACTTTTTAGTTTTGATATATAGGTTAAGTTCGAGCTAAATTAGTTAACTAGACGAGTCCAACTCGACTACATCTCAAGCCCTGACTTGAGTATCAGAATCTCTAAGTTCGGCACTTTTACAGCTGTAGCTCTACTTATGCTAGCTGATGTCCACGGTTGCCATTTGATCAATTAGTTTAAACTTTAAACTATTAAATTAAATTAAAAAAAAAAAAAAGAGATAGAAAAAAAAGGTACCTCTGATAATTTTTGAGTGGCGGCCCAATACACGATGTAAGCCAGGCCATGGGCACTGAAAAGGGCCATGACAATGTGGCCCAGCCATATATGATATTTGACACTGCCCTCTGATGTCAGCCCCAAAAGTGGCAGCATCGATGAGCCACGTGTCACCGGGAAGAAGAGAAATGACAGCGCTATATTTCCGACCAGTCCCAGGCGGAGCGCCACCGTATCCAGCCTCGCTTCCCACCTGCCATGCACCACCGACAATTACACATATTTCTCAATCTCAATTTACATTTGACATAATTACAAAAATGTCTGCAATTTGGGACAAATTATAAATTCATTAACTTTTACTATTACATAAAATACCCCTTTGTTAATAAAAACTGAGTACAATATACCAAAAAATTATAAATAAACAAAAAAAACATGCAAAATCTACGCAATAAAATATTAGTTCAAAATTGCAAAATATGTCCACCGATTTCATTAATTTAAGTATAATTTTTGCGATTTATTTAGTCCGCACATACTATCTTCAATTACAAGAATTCGTGAACACCATTTTTATACATCCAAACTTACTGGACATATTACAAAAATTCCAGAAAACAATTGTTACATATCCAAAGTTAATTGACATGTTTTATACTTTTACGTTTATACATAGTGGTAAAATGAATGATCGAGTAAAACTCAAAGATTTTACATATTGAGTTGATTCGACTTAGTTAATAAATATGCTAGCTAGGTAACTTCATTTTACAATAAGCTAGTGTCATGTTCTCTAAAAGTTGTATACTTTATGTCGTAGAAAATTGCAATTTTAGTCCAGTAACTTAGGCTGTTTCCCACTTTAGTCCAGTAACTTGGGCCGATCCAAAATTGGTCCAAAAACTTCCAAAATGTAGTTAAATTAGTCCAATTTCGATCCCCGTCGCCGGAATCCGAATTGCCAACTCAGCACATTCCGATCGGATTCCGGCGACGGAGACCGGAATTGGACTAATTTAACTACATTTTAGAAGTTTTTGGACCAATTTTAGATCGGTCCAAGTTACTGGACTAAAGTGGGAAACAGCCTAAGTTACTGGACTAAAATTGCAATTTTCTCCTTTACGTAGTAATCGGTAAAATATATTTATATATAGTTCTTACACTTTTTCTCCATTTTTTGCAGCTGACTTGGGTGTGATTTTGGCAAAACTAATGGTCAAATAGGTACCAAAATTCCAAACAAGAAGCGCTATAAACATGAGGAGAAAAGCAAGCTCTATTCGAGTGACTATTCCCAGCCCTTTGATCGTCGCTGGCCTTTTCCACAGACTCAACCAATGCCCTCCATTTGCGCTGGGTAATTCGATTATCCCAAAATCAATTAAGATCACAAAAATTTAAAAGCAGAGCAAATAAACAATTTTCAGTAAATCATGTGGAAATTATATGTATATCCATAGCTCTGATAACAAAAAACTATCATGGGAACATTAAATAAATTAACTAGTGTAGGTTATTTTCAAATTATAAACTAGTGTACAGGTAAAAGTACCTCCAAAATGAGTGAGTGTGTTGATCCGTCATACGTTTTTAATAAAAATGCATACATATACTTGAAATGTCATACTTTTATTTATATCTGTATATCTATATAAAAAGGATTGATTTTTTTTTGAAATAATATGTGTAATTTTTCACTAAACACTTGTACTCACAAAATGAAAATTTATTTGATCTTTTGTTTCCATTTTACCATTGCATATTTTATTGAATTTTTTTTTTTTACTTTAAAATCATAAGAAAACATATCTTTTTTATAAATATGCAGAAAATACGAAATGATTAGTTTATCTTTAGATACCTAATTTATTATCTTAATATATTGTCATTTGTTTTAAACATTCACTACATGAATCAAAAAATATTTTTTATTTCATCAAACCAAATAAATTTAAGAAAAATAAGAAAATTTCTTTAGATCAATCTGGTGATTGGAATTACATTCCTTCCCATTTATTGAATTAGTTTTAGATCATATTTAAAATATTAAAAAAGAAAAACATGATATAATTGGAGTTGGTCCCGGGAGATCAAGTTATGGGTCAGTTTGGCCAGACAAAAATCGATTATTGAAAATAAACATAATTTCAATATTATAAATACTTTATTGCAATAATTTTAATGTAGTCTAAATTAACTCCAAATAATCATATTAAGAATACTTTTATGATAAAATATTCAATGATTTATGAATATTTGTATATCATTTTATTAATATTTATGTTAACAAAACACTATTGTATTACAATTTTTATTAATATATGGTAAATCAAGGTTCTCAGAACCGGATCGTCATCGAATCGATCAAATTATTTATTCAATGATTATTATTTGGGTCAGACTTTAATTCAAATATTCTTACATATCCAATACTTTTTACTATAAACTTATATAAAAATTTTAATTAAATATCTAAACCATTTTAAATTTTTAAATGTTTAAACTAATTGATAAATATTTTTTTTAATTTCTATTTTATTTAAATATATATTTTTATTTACATTAAAAATAATTTTAAATGCATAAAATGTATTTAAAAATTGTGCCGATCCTACAAGTACGACCGACTGATAATTAATGATTGGTCTGCTCGAAAACGTTTTTTTCAAGCAAATCCGATCGATCAATAAAGCGCTTATCGGTCCATCTCAACGGACTATCTAGTCTGGTCCGGTCTGATGTTGAAAACGATGAGTATATCATGATTAATGTTATTTATTTATTCAATGTATAATAGAATTGTGATAGTGTTTTCTCGTATATCTTACGAGCTATGTACTAGTTAGTTAGTTCGAAATTATTTATAAATATGACCGCATAATGATTAGATTATTCTAACACCAATCATACTAAAATATAGTAAAAGATAAAAGATTGCATACCCTTCTGCGTGGATATTTGTTGAATTTTTTCCTAAATGGAGATACACACAGCCCAAGACTGCAATAAATAGGATTGGGAAGGTGAATACAAGATAAGTTGCACCTGCAAACACATATATGAGTCAATATAAGTAATTAATACTCTGATATATATAATTTGATATTTGTATTTAGCTTTTCTTTTTTGTTCTTATCAATATATACCGCCCCTTTTCTTGGCTTCTCTCTCGTGAAGCGGTGATAAATATACTACGTACATTATATATCACTAGTAAAATTTAGAACCTCCCAATCCATTGAGATACATCTTTAATTTGTGTTAACTTTATTGATTAAAAATAAAATCGTTAATTATAAGATTACATTCGTATGACTGAAATTTTTGGCAGATAATAAAGATACAAGAATGTGATATAGATAAATATTTGAAGTTGTTTGATGTAACAAAAATTAAAAATAAAATATTAAAAACCCAAGATATAGTTAAAATAACAAGATATATGTTTGAAGATAATAAATTTTCCAACCTTGGGTAGTTCCGAAGTAAGTGGAGACAGTTTGTGCTCTGAGCTCCGGTAACCAAGTTTTTCGAAAGGCGTTTGTTGGCATCATAACCCACAATAATAGGTATCCGGCGAACACCGCCACCACTGCCGCCATTATTGCCGCCCGGAATTTGTTGTTGCCACCGCCGGAAGGTGGTGGATGTGGTGAAGGTGTATGTGAATCCATATATATGTGTGTTTGTGTTATAGTAATTTCTAATGATTTTTTTTCTTTTTTCTTTTTTTTTGTTTTGTTAATTTCTTCTTTTGAAGAGGGTTGATGTGAAAAAAGGGCTGGATTATGAGGAATTTGTAAAATGTCACGAATTTTTGTGGGAGAATGTGAAGGGAATGTGATGCTTATATATAGGGGAAATAATGTGACATGTAAATATTTGTATGCTAGTGGGGCTTTAAGACCCAGCAAGATCAAAGGCAGAAGGAAGATGAAGTGTAAAATAAATAATTAATTGAGAATAATTAAAATAAATAATTAATTGAGAATAATTATATTTATATAGAAAAAAAATGGAGTTGACATTTTTCCTAATTGTCAAATTCTTAGATTAGTGGGAAGTGAGAGTTCATGCATGCATGTAATTAATTTACACACAAAAAGAGACAAATGGTGTATATCAATCTGATTAATAAGCTAGCTAGCCCGATCCTGATTTCAAAATTATTTAGGAAATGCAATTTTCGGATGAGGGACTCTTAACCATAATAAGAATGCATACATATGCTATATGTTGTATTTTTGTTTATGTTGATTTATTGAGATAGACATTTCATTTTGAAAGTATTTATATACTTATTAAAAAATGCATTTAATTAATAATTAGATATGTCTAATAGCATAGTTAAGGCGTGCTTGGATGCAAATATGTTCGCTTAAAACAAGTTTTTTTTTTTTTAACCAGTGTTAATTTGATAAAAAATAATATAGTTAGTTGTTAGTGAGATTTTGAGTTTATATTAAAGTAATATTTAAAGTTGATTTGGTATAAAGTAAGAGATAGATGATGTTAGTCAGAATTTTTTAAGTAAATGAATAGTGAATTAAAGTTGATATTATGTGTAAAAATGATTGATTGATATTATTTATTTATATTGATAATATTGAGGAAACGTCACATATAAAACCGGATGAGCGGTAGACTTCATCTATTTGAGAATTGAATCGTTATGAATGACATTAAGTTAAATTGTAAGTATAAATTGAGTTTATTTATAAATAAGCGCACGTGTTATGAAAAAGAAGGCTGCATTTTTTTTGTTAAATAATAAAAATTGTTCCACCTCGTGGAGTATACTATTGCTATAATCGAAAGTTGACCGAGTAATGGTAGATAGTAACAAGTATTAGTGTGTAGGCTTGTGGTATTGTTAATCCATGATTTACGATGCGCATGTCTTATGTGTGCTGCCTCGTGTTTGCCATCTAACTTCGCCAGCATCACGCATAATAAAAAATAAATGTTGTACCAAAAAAATAAATAAATAAATAAATGGCTAGCTAAGCAAATAAAGGATTAAATAATTATGAACCTCAAAATGTTTCATCTTACGATATATATATTCATTTAACATAAACTAACAAAATGTTTCATCTTACTACTTTTATCTAATTTCTTTTTTATATATAATTTCTAAACTATAAATATAAAGAGCTAGAATAAAATCATAATACTCATTTTTTAGTTCACAAATCACACTGTCGGATTATATTTAAATTTTACTATATAATATGTTTTTAAATAAACCATAATATATATACTTTAGCAATATAATTAAAATTAATATGAAATATTGGTGCGAAGTTAGAGACGGATCTGTAGGGGGCCTAGGGAGGGCACAAGGCCCCTCTGAAATTTTGTAATAATCTAGGGATATTTTAATAATTTTACAATTAATTAAAAAAATAAAAAAAAAATAATATATATTAAAAGCTGAAGTATCGAGGAGTAGGCGAGCAGAAGAGAAAAAATTGTACAAAAAAAACCTAAACCCTTGAGATTTGATAGAAAACGATAAAAAGAAAGAGGTCCTTCCATCCCGTTTGGCAGCTTAACGGCTTCAATTAATCAATTTCATCCCCGTTCGGTCCAGGCGTCCGACTTCCGGAAGACATCTTGTTGAGTAACAGGGTAAGCTCTTTTTTTTCTTCTAATTTCTGAATGTCGAACAACGGAACAAACAAGAATTTGATTTCTGATTTTATCTTCTTTTTTTTTTCTAATTTCTGAATTTCCAAAAAAACACATGTGAGTATGTGACTATGTGTAGTTTTATCATATGGGGAGAAAATTGTATATGCTGTGAGAGATATGAGAATCATGGTGAATTGGTGATGGGTTTATTTATTTGTTTCAGTGGGTGGGGCCGTGGGGGACTAATTAATGTAAAAAAACTCTTGGGCTTCTTAATGAAAAAAAAAAAACCAATTGATGTGCCTTTTTAATAGAATTATTGTTGTTTTCTTTTTTTAGTGGGATGAATGAACAATGATTGTAGACTATTTGAAAGGCAAAGGCCCTGGTCATGTATTAATGCTTTTTTATGGTTTCATGATCAATTTATCTACAATTTCATTGTGGGACCAACTAAAATTTTAATTTGATTGAGAGATGAAAAGAAAAAGGGTCATCACTTTGAACTAATTTTTTCTTTTTACCTCTATGGTTTGGGATTTTTGAAAATTGAAAAACTCTAGTCAGACTAGTTGGTGTTCGGGAATCAGGGACGGATCTGTAGGGGGCACTGGCCCCCCTGAAATTTTGTAATGATTTAGGGGTATTTTAGTAATTTTACAATTAATTAAAAAATTAAAAAAATAATATATATTAAAAGCTGAAGTATCGAGGAGTAGGCGAGCAGAGAGAAAAAATTGTACAAAAAAAAACCTAATCCCTTGAGATTTGATAGAAAACGATAAAAAGAAAGAGGTCCTTCCATCCCGTTTGGCGGCTTAACGGCTTCAATTAATCAATTTCATCCCCGTTCAGTCCGGCCGTCCGACTTCCGGAAGACATCTTGTTGAGTAACAGAGTAAGCTTTTTTTTTTCTTCTAGTTTCTGAATGTCGAACAACGGAACAAACAAGAATTTGATTTCTGATTTTATCTTCTTTTTTTTTTCTAATTTCTGAATTTCCAAAAAAACACATGTGAGTATGTGACTATGTGTAGTTTTATCATATGGGGAGAAAATTGTATATGCTGTGAGAGATATGAGAATCATGGTGAATTGGTGATGGGTTTATTTATTTGTTTCAGTGGGTGGGGCCGTGGGGGACTAATTAATGTAAAAAAACTCTTGGGCTTCTTAATGAAAAAAAAAAAACCAATTGATGTGCCTTTTTAATAGAATTATTGTTGTTTTCTTTTTTTAGTGGGATGAATGAACAATGATTGTAGACTATTTGAAAGGCAAAGGCCCTGGTCATGTATTAATGCTTTTTTATGGTTTCATGATCAATTTATCTACAATTTCATTGTGGGACCAACTAAAATTTTAATTTGATTGAGAGATGAAAAGAAAAAGGGTCATCACTTTGAACTAATTTTTTCTTTTTACCTCTATGGTTTGGGATTTTTGAAAATTGAAAAACTCTAGTCAGACTAGTTGGTGTTCGGGAATCAGGGACGGATCTGTAGGGGGCACTGGCCCCCCTGAAATTTTGTAATGATTTAGGGGTATTTTAGTAATTTTACAATTAATTAAAAAATTAAAAAAATAATATATATTAAAAGCTGAAGTATCGAGGAGTAGGCGAGCAGAGAGAAAAAATTGTACAAAAAAAAACCTAATCCCTTGAGATTTGATAGAAAACGATAAAAAGAAAGAGGTCCTTCCATCCCGTTTGGCGGCTTAACGGCTTCAATTAATCAATTTCATCCCCGTTCAGTCCGGCCGTCCGACTTCCGGAAGACATCTTGTTGAGTAACAGAGTAAGCTTTTTTTTTTCTTCTAGTTTCTGAATGTCGAACAACGGAACAAACAAGAATTTGATTTCTGATTTTATCTTCTTTTTTTTTTCTAATTTCTGAATTTCCAAAAAAACACATGTGAGTATGTGACTATGTGTAGTTTTATCATATGGGGAGAAAATTGTATATGCTGTGAGAGATATGAGAATCATGGTGAATTGGTGATGGGTTTATTTATTTGTTTCAGTGGGTGGGGCCGTGGGGGACTAATTAATGTAAAAAAACTCTTGGGCTTCTTAATGAAAAAAAAAAAACCAATTGATGTGCCTTTTTAATAGAATTATTGTTGTTTTCTTTTTTTAGTGGGATGAATGAACAATGATTGTAGACTATTTGAAAGGCAAAGGCCCTGGTCATGTATTAATGCTTTTTTATGGTTTCATGATCAATTTATCTACAATTTCATTGTGGGACCAACTAAAATTTTAATTTGATTGAGAGATGAAAAGAAAAAGGGTCATCACTTTGAACTAATTTTTTCTTTTTACCTCTATGGTTTGGGATTTTTGAAAATTGAAAAACTCTAGTCAGACTAGTTGGTGTTCGGGAATCAGGGACGGATCTGTAGGGGGCACTGGCCCCCCTGAAATTTTGTAATGATTTAGGGGTATTTTAGTAATTTTACAATTAATTAAAAAATTAAAAAAATAATATATATTAAAAGCTGAAGTATCGAGGAGTAGGCGAGCAGAGAGAAAAAATTGTACAAAAAAAAACCTAATCCCTTGAGATTTGATAGAAAACGATAAAAAGAAAGAGGTCCTTCCATCCCGTTTGGCGGCTTAACGGCTTCAATTAATCAATTTCATCCCCGTTCAGTCCGGCCGTCCGACTTCCGGAAGACATCTTGTTGAGTAACAGAGTAAGCTTTTTTTTTTCTTCTAGTTTCTGAATGTCGAACAACNG